CCTGGTTTAATGCCTTCTTTTTTTTTTTTTTTTTTTGTCTTTCTCTGGCTGTTTAGGGATCTACTGATGATGAGCAGCATATAAGCAAATCCACCTCTCTGATTGAAAGCCAACATCACCACCTGCTGCACTGCCTGGAAAAAACAACTGTAAGTAGAAACTGGATCCTTTCTGAATCTGATTCCATTCCTTGCTCCTGGGTCCAGGATTCATTCAGAAAGGACGTGGGTACAGTACAGTGCTCTGGTGCATACCCACACAAATTCCCAGTAGGCTAAAAAAAAAAATGTCAGTGGAGTGATGGGTCCTGTACCTCAGATGTCTCCCCAGCTGGAAGAAACTCACTTGCATTTTCATCAATGGCTCCAGAAATAACCATATGCAAAGTGCTGAAAAAAGGAATTCTGCAGGGGAAAAAAAGGGCCATTGCCCATTGCTCTGGTGCTTGTATACAGCAGGGTGATGCCAATGAAAACTGTTGTCAGTCGGGGTAGATAGTACTCCTCACCACTGCGAATCACAACCCATTATGCAGGGCATAGGGGAGTCATTGCCTATGCTCCAGGAAACTTAATTTATTCCTGCAGAGGAGCAGAGAAGCTGCCTGTAATGAACAGAGGAGACAGATTAAGCTTCTGACCCGGGGCTGAACTCAGTTTGTCCTTGGCTCCACTGGCAGTTAAGCCGTGTCTGTCACAGGATCATCTGCATTCATTGCTTTCATTCACTGCTGATGACAGATAGTTTTGCTGCCATGGATGGAAGCTGCTGTCTGCAAGCTCCAAGCCACACCTGTTCCCCGTTGCAAGCGAACAGGAGAAAACAGCTATTGGGCCATTTAGCTGGAGTCCAGGCATCTAGGCCCAGTTACAGAAGGAGGCAGCTTGCCATGGACTCCACCGAAATGCCGTTTCCATCTACACAGTGCCTGGTGCTGGCCTGAGACCCCAGCAAGTGTTTTCTGTAATTATTCAGGGAATTCTGCTTCCAGAATCATTGGGGAAAAAATGGAAACAAATCATCAATCTCCCGCATTCGTGTCTTTGGTAATAAAGAAAGATAGTATCTCGATTGCACGCCTGGGCCCATTCGAGAATGGCTTTAACAGGTTAAACCTTGGAGCAATGTATACCCTCCTTTATTTTCATCTCTCATCTCACATTCTTTTTGTTCCTGACCCCCTCACACTTCCTTTTCAGTAAATCAACCTCAGTTTTAGCTTGGATCCTGTTAGAATAACACCACTTAAGTTTCAGAGAAACGTGGAAAGAAGACAATTGATTAAATCCTTTTAGCACCTAAATATCGCAGATCCTGGACTGTATCATGCTGAATGATGAAGCTAACCATTCTAGTGCTGATGCAATGATTCTTCTTATATCAATGAGTCTTGATTTTGTTATATAAGATGTAGCTTGCTTTCATTTCTACTACTTCTGTATGTTACATTACAAGCAGGTATTTTGCAATCCGACTCTTCCCCAGTTTGGAATTCTGCGCTTCCCCTATAACCTTTACATGGTTCATTAGGCATATTTGTCTTACGTAGAACATGATTATTGCTATTGCCACAAATTTGTCTAGCAATATACAGGCGATAAGAAAGACAAGCTCTATTACCAGTGACCCAGATCCTGCAAAGAGAGATGCAGTTTCTTACCTTTACAAGCAGGCACACTGTTCAGTGTCTGTTATACCAAGGTAATGTGGGTGTCAAGGGCATTGCTGATTGTAAGAGCTGTTATACTCTACATAACTAGCTGGAGGTCATGTGGGACATCAGTGACAAGGGAAGGTCTAGAACCAGGGTCTTCTAGGTTCAAGGGTAGTAGCTATTCCACTGGACCATCCTTTCTTCCTCAGAGGTAGCCTGACATCAATGGGACTGTTCACAGCCTGTTAAATTGAGCACATGTGTAAATCATTACATGATCTGGGACTACAAACTTCAACCCAGATTGCAATAGCCTTATTCATATGGAGATGTGCAGTTTTCTCCACAACTAGACCCACAGCCTTCATTAGGAATAGGTCTCTCATAAATCCTATTCCATGTGAGTCTAGCTCTGAGGATCTCAGATAATTGGATGAAGATGATACCAGCAAGAGGAAGAGTTTCTTTTTAATCTTATTCTTTAATCTTATTCTAATCCTTTTCCTGGATGACACCAGTGTAGAGTAGGGGATGCAGAAGGGATACTGTACCCAGTGGAAGCACCGAGAGTCACAAGATGTTAGAGGTAACCAGCCCTACATTTGCATTTAGATGTTGGCATCACATGTTAAAAAGTGTCGCCAGATGTTTGTTTCTCAATGACAAATGTTGCTGATCTATTTGAATCTTGCTGTAAATTGAAAAAAGATCCCTGAAAATATGCACTTTATTTTTCCCCACATTTTTTCAGCGAGTTTTTATCATGACACGATGTCAAACCACCAGGAGACCATCAATATAAAATGATCAAGAATTACTGTCTCACATCCAGAACTGATCACATTATGAAAATAACGATTAAAAAAAACAATGTAGGTGATGAATGGTTGCAAAAAACACAAATAATTCTGCAGGGCAAAAAAATAAGGAGAACTGTTGAAATCATGCAAACATGTAATAGCAAAGACATTGTTTGCTAGCTGGTTCCTTCCCGAATGAAATCTTGCCGGTATCATCTAAACACATCTACCTCTGGTAGAAATACAATAGCATTTCAAAGTTTTTAGAGGGTTGCTTCTTTTATGGTTCTCTACAGCGCTGTTCAGCATTAAGTGGCTGTTCAGTTCTCAAAGCCTGAATGCTGCTGACCTGTAGCATCAACATCTTCCACAAAGAGACTGTCATTCAAGAAGTCAAAGGCAGCGTGTTTAGATTATGATTCTCAAATCATCAATCAAAACAGCTCAATCAGTGTTTGCGCTCAAATGCCTTTCGCTTGTCCCGTACACTCAATCTAATATGCAAAAAAATTCAAATCACAGCGAAGAATTCATAAACGCGGAAGAGTCGTTTTGCAGTGATACGAAGTTGCAGGTGGAATGAGGAATGATCCATGTGCCGTGGGTACAAACATGTTTCAAGGGGCAATTCACCTTTCCTTAAACTTGATGGAGGGGTTATCAGAAAGTGCATTCGTTCTTTATGTGCTATCTCCAGTTGTCATAAGAAATAAATCCTACAGGCTGATTGATGTCTGTGAACGGCCCACAAATCTGGTGCGCCGGAAGACGAAGTAGCCCTGTGGTGCTTCCAGCAACCATAACAAAGAATATTTTGTCATATCAACTCTACATTTTTTCTACTCTACTCCTTTCCTGACTCCAGATGCAAGCATGGACATCCGTATCCAATGCTTTTCTGGCTGCTGCCTAATTTGATTTACAACCTTCAGCTGAAACCTTCCTTCTTGGTGCCCAAGACACCATCTAAAAAAACAGGCAATCGCACAACTTTGATCCAGTAACAATGCAATACCAATTTGGTGAATCAGTGAGAACTGTGTCTTTTGTTTCCTGACTTGACAAACCAGACAGGAAGACAAATCCTCCTCAAAAAAACCCAAACCCTTAACCCCCCCCCCCCCCAAAAAAAAACCCCCAAACAAACAAACAAATAAACCCCAAAGCCAAATCTAAACAAGAAAAAATCCTCCAAACAACAGCTGCAAATTGCCTTGCACTTCCTCGGTGGTTTTGGTAAAGGAAAGGCCCAATTGCCCGTTCAAACTTGGGTGCCAGGAGGAATGCTGAGATCGAATGGATGGAATGCCGGAATGGAGAATCAATCATGTTTTTATCTTTTGTTGGCATGTTGTCCTGTAGGGATTGTCCTATCTTGTGGATGATCCCCTGTTATCTGTACGAACTTCCACCATCAAGGTATTTCCTTTTTAATTCAATCTGTTTCCTACGATCTCTGTGCCATGTCTGGAGTGCTTGTTTCCTTCCCTGTTACTGGTCCTGTTCTCGGGAGTTAGTGCACGTGGTTCTGTTTTGCTCTCCGGTGCTTTTGTTTTGCTGTACGACGTGGTATCTGTTCCCATGAACACTGACAGCTGCTTTCTCTCCAGTTGGGTTTGTTTCCTTTTTCCCCCCATCCTTTCCGGTTCTGACAGGGAATGGCTAGATTGGTATCTCAGGTCTCCGTGAGCGTGCGTATCTGTGCCTAGGGGTATATGCTGGGGC